CGTTTTCCATAATGAACAGTTGAATCTGCTGTCCAGTATTTTAATTTGTTTAGGATGAACAAAATCTCCCCCGAGGCAGATCTACCCGAGCCCAGATAGGGCCGGTGTTATTGTTCAACATCAGCTTCATCCTTAGTACATCTGCCCACAGAAACACAAAGCCGTTTCTCTTACGATACTGTGGGCCCACAAGCAAAGTCTGAGAGTTCAGGGGCAGGGAGACAGAGCAGCCCAGAGGATAGTGAACTGGACTGGGAGGCAGGCAGCCTGGATTCTGTTCCTGCTGGCTGGGTGACCTTGGGAAGTCCCATCCCATCTCTGTGCCTCTGTTTCCTTAGCTTTACAATGGTGATGAGATTTACCCTCCTTTGTAAAGTGCTTTGAGAGCTGTGGATAAAAAATGCAATGTCAGAGCTAGGTGCTATTATATATTGGACAGTTTTGCTATCCATCTCTCCTGATAAGCAGTCCTATGGTGAAATCCGGATCCCACTGAAACTCTCATTGACGTCAGTGGGGCCAGGAGTTTACCCCGAATGTTTGTGTAACCAGTGAAAGTAAACACTGCTTTCCTTGGAAAGCATAAAGCTCAGAGCTAAAAGACCCAAACTGAAGGATTATATGATAGCTTTTATTTTTGAAGCATCACTGTAGGTGTATTTTATTTAAAGTTAATCAAGAGTCCTGCTCTTTCCTCTTCATCGATTGCACTGCTGGCCTGTTTGCTGTGTCCATGAGGTTGATTCATGGCCACTAGAGCTAAACGTCATGTGTCCTGGCTCGAAAAGAATATAAAGCACAGACTATTTCAGACATTGTGCCTGTCAGTAACACAGCTGAGTGTATTGAATTAATAGTGGGTAAACGCTCTTGCCTTCATTCTGTGTTGGGACTGGTCTAAACACAGGTTTTTGTACTGCTATCACTAGGTTTTGTGTATGTGTGTGTGTGTAAGTGCCTTTATACTGGTGTAATCCACGCTAGGCGGGTTGTATCTATTCAACTGTTTCAGTTTCTAAGTCAGTCTAGTTATAACAGGACAAAAACCTATGCGTCAATCCACCTTTACTTACTATGATCCTTTCAGTGTGTACTTCAGTGCAGGTGCACTTGGGATTGTACCTTGCCTGAAGGTATTGGCTCCCCTTGGTGCTGGGTATTTTATAGAGACATGGCATATTCAGACCTGAATGAATAAAGAGAAAAGCAGAGTGCTTCTGTCCCCCACAACATCAACGCCAACTGTTCGAAAATCATGAGATTGGCTTGGAAACCATCAGGGTTTTTTATTTAAAAGAAAATTGGGGTTCTGTATATTTGATCTCTGAGCCTGTAGGAGGCACCCTAGAGTGAGCTCAAGTTCCATTTTCATACTTGTTTTTTACAGCTATGAGAACTAGAAACTTCTTTAAAAAAAAAAAAAAAAAGACGGGATTGTTGCATAATCAGCTGACTCCAGGAGTTGGGGCTTTAATTTAAACATCAGATGAAACTCGCGATAAAATCATGAGAGTTTAGGATATGCCCACACTGCAGTCAGAGGTGGGATCATAACCAAGCGAGCTTTGATCTAGCTAGCTTGAATAACAATAGCAGTGACCTCTTCAGCACAGACTGGAGTGTGGGCTAATTACCCAGGGTCCCTGGCTTCCCCTGAATCCCTTTCTGCCATGGCTTTGCTGCTCCTGGTGGTCTCGCTAGCTAGATTAAAGCTAGCTGTGGGTATGCCTGCAGTTGTAGTGTAGACGCACCATGGAAAGAGGCTGTGGGCTGTTGCTTTATGTTAGGTCACAACCCCTAATACAGGTGAGGGGCACATGCTTCGTAGGCTGGACCTCAGCGGCAGTGCTGCCCTTTTAGCCAGGTGGGGAGACTTTCCACAGACTCAGCTTCTGCTGGGTGAAACTTTATCCACTCTGACTTTGGGCCCATGTGTGAGGCCAGGTCTACACCACAGCCTTGCATCGGTATAACTGTGCCCCTTAGGGGTGTGAAAAATCCACACCCTTGAGTAACATAGTTCTATCAGCCTAACCCCCGGTGTGCACAGCACTATGTCAGCAGGAGAGCGTGTCCTTGATACTGGCTCCCTCGAAAAGTCTCCACTCCCTCTTCTATTTATCAGCAGAGACAATGTTGTAGGAGCAATGTGAAATGACAAACGTGTTCTTTATTAGCTAGCAAGTGGGAGGGGGGGTCGGAGATTTGGCTGTCTGGAGCATAACTGCTTAATTGTTGTTGTTTCTGTTGCTATACTGGGGAAGGAATTGAGAACCGCAGTTCTTCAGCCCCTGCCCTCTCAGAATCCACCTCTTCTTATGGAGGTGCACAGTGGCTCAGCTCACGACTCAACCCAGGGTCTGTCACGCTGTGGAAGGGGGTTTCTGGGCCAGTCACTGGCGACTGTTTGATCTCGTGGTTCATGTTCAGCCCTAAAATATTTTCACATTCAAGCATGTTAGAGGCCAGAGCAACTGGCTTACTAAAAAGAACCAGAACTACGCCGGGGCTGACCTGGTACAGCAGAACCCCAGTGCTGAGCCTGACAGGCAGCATGGACCAGTGCAGAGGGCACTGGACTGTGAATTGATAAACTTGGGATTTGTTCCCCACTCTGCCTCTAACCAACCATCAGACCGTGGGTAAATCACTTAACTTCTCCATGCCTCAGTTTCCTCATCTGTGAAACAGGGAAGATGCTGATTCTTCCCTGCGTGCAAAAAATCCTCTAGCAATGCTAAACGCTGTTATCATCGAGCATTTCAAGCACTGTTTGATTATGCCCTGCTGTAAAAATGCAAGTTGCAGAATCTTGGTGCAGTTAAGTGTGCTCACCATTGCACCTCTGTTTGTATTGAGACCCACATTTCCAAAGTGCTTTGAGAACGCCGGGTGAAAAGTTCAGTAAGAACCACCAAGTACGGCTATTTCCTCCATCAGCTGTGCCAGCTCCAAGCAGAACTTCAAGATTCACATTCTGCATGAAATATTTAAGGATTTGATCTGTTGTAATATATTCACTTATTCTTGGACAACGTGTCTCGTTAGTTCATTATTCCGTGTGCTGGGAGGCTCAAATGAAATTGCATTTTCCAGTATTTATTCTTCTTCACTGCTGCTCACCTCCTCCGCATCCCCATGCTTTATGTTAAATATGTTTAACATGGTTGCTTCATCACAGTGTTGGTATTAAAAACTAAATTAGAGAGATATTACAAGTTACTGCCCTTTCCATGCCTGCTGCACGTTTGAATTGGCTGAGCTTTCTTCTCTTTGTGCTTGTATTTTCAAGTTCTTCTTCGAGTGATTGCTCATATCGATTCCATTTAGGTGTGCGCGCGCTGTGTGCACAGTCGTCGGAAAGTTTTCCCTTAGCAGCTCCCGTTGGGTCGGGTCGGCTGTGGAGCCCCCTGGAGTGGTGCCTTCATGGCATTGAATATATGCCCCTGCCGACCCCACCCCTCCTCAGTTCCTTCTTACCGCCTGTGACGGCCGTTGGAATGGTGATCGCTTGCCTAGCAAGTGCTTCCCTTAGTGTTCTTTTCATAGCATAGTTAGTTTAGTTGTAGTTCTTCCAATCCCTCATCTGGGCCGGGCCGAGGTCGGCGCACCCACCACGACACCAGAGCCTTTCCCCTTGTTTTATGAATCATCTATTCCACTTCTACCATGCTTGATTCCCAAATAACATCGGACCGCTGGGTTCTTCGTACAGTAGAAGTGGGATATTCTCTCCAATTCTGCTCCTCCCCTCCATTCCACGCCACCTTCAGGGACCCTTTTCATGAGCAACTCCTTATCCAGGAGGTGCAGGCGCTCCTCCCCATGGGAGCAGTAGAGGAGATTCCTCAGGAGCTATGGGGCAAGGAGATTCTACTTCCTCTATTTCCTAATCCCCAAGGCGAAGGGGGGTGGGTCACATCCATTTTATTTTGGGGTTAGTTTAGCATTGCCCCTTAAGACTCTCAAAAGCAAAGCGGTCCTGATGCAGCAACAGTCTTTGGCCCATTTACAACTTTAAGCGCACACGAGTAGCTGTGTTGGAAGCTAATGGAACTTGCTTGTTTGAGCTGAGCATGCTCTTTCAGATCTGTTTGCTGCACGAGGTTTGTGTCTTGTCATAGTCTACTGGTCCCTTGTGGCCTTAAAAAAATCTATCTAGTGAGAGCATGTGTACAGCTAGGGGATATCCCAGACTAGGGACTGGTAGGGGCTTCCATGTGTTATACTTAGCTGCAAGGAAGAGCAAGTGGAGATGGGGCGAAGGGACGAGAGGTTTGTTGGAAAGAAAGTTGGCCCCACCTGACAGGTAGCAGTTTGTCCTACTCCTGGCTTGGTGGGAAGAGAGCTCAGGGGTATAAATTTTGGACATAGGATTTCATTCTGTTAATTCTGGAGTCATTTGAATAAAGCACATGTCCCAGAAGGCATCCCACCATGATTTGAAGACCTCAAGAGACAGAGAATCCACTGCTTCCCCTGCTAGCTGGTTGCTAACCTGACCTCGCTGTTATAAAGTTGTGCCCTATTTCTAATTTGAATTTATCTGGCTTATTGAAATCTCTGATAATCTGTTGCTGCCATGTGGGGGAGATTGTCCATTGCAGAGAGCGCCCCGGGGGTCACCGGGTTCTTGCAGTGGGTCTGGCTGGCGATCTTTGCAAAGCATGCTGGGTCTGCTCCAGAGGAGCCTTTTGAACTCTCCTTCCTTTTGTGTCCCTCTTAGGAGGAGAGAGATGGAGCTTCAGAGGAGGGCCTGGGGAGAGAAATGTCGCTCTAGCAGTGATGAGTGTTATCCCCACAGGGATGTCCTGATGTTCACACAATAACTTGCTCCAGGGAACTGGTGTTACTCTGTCACTGCAGGTCTCAGTTGGGTGGGGGCTAGCCAGCCAAAGCATGCTGGCCTAGCACAGTCGATGGGGCAGTCTCTGAGCCCACATGCTCCTGCCAGGAACATGCACTGGCCTATGGGTAAACACGTCTCTGTCTCCGAACAGGTTTGGAAGAGGTCTGGCGCATGGTTCTACAAAGGACTGCCTAAGTACATCATGCCTTTGAAAACCACCAAAGCCAACGAACTGCGTCTGCGGCCTCGACAAGCCGAGCCAGATGTGCAAGAAGTGAAGGGCATCGGGACAAACCGCTCCTACACCTGGGCCAGAGGGAGAGGTCAGTCGTTAATTTCTTCCCTGCGTTTTCCTGACTCGGGAGGACTGGGAGTGAGTCAGGTGCAGTGGGGCTGAGGCGTCCCATTGGTATTCACCCAAGAGTTCTGCAGTTTCACTTTTGAGTTCCTTCAGAACTACTAACTGTAGTCTGTAACCTATCATTTAAATCAGCTTCTGTGCCAGATGACTGGAGGATAGCTAAGATGACGCCAATTTTTAAAAAGGGCTCCAGAGGTGATCCTGGCAATTACGGGCCTGTAAGCCTGACTTCAGTACCGGGGAAACTGGTTGAAACTACAATAAAGAACAATATTGTTAGACATATAGATGAACATAATTTGTTGAGGAAGAGTCAACATGGTTTTAGTAAAGGGAAATCATGCCTCACCAATCTACAAGAATTCTTTGAGGGGGTCAGCAAGCACGTTTACCAAGGGGATCCAGTGGATATAGTGTACTTAGATTTTCAGAAAGCCTTTGACAAGGTCCCTCACCAAAGGCTCTTACGCAAAGTAAGCTGCCGTGGGATAAGAGGGAAGATGCTCTCATGGATTGGTAACTGGTTAAAAGATAGGAAACAAAGGATAGGTATAGATGGTCAGTTTTCAGAATGGAGAGAGGTAAATAGTGGTGTCCCCCAGAGGTCTGTTCTGGGATCAGTCCTATCAACATATTCATAAATAATCTGGGGAAAGGGATAAACAGTGAGGTGGCAAAATTTGCAGATGATACAAAACTACTAAAGATAGTTATGTCCCAAGCACATTGCGAAGAGCTACAAAAGGATCTCTCAAAACAGGGTGACTGGGCATCAAAATGGCAGATGAAATTCAATGTTGAGAAATGCAAAGTAATGCACGTTGGAAAGCATAATCCCAATTATACATGTAAAATGATGGGGTCTAAATTAACTGTTCCTACTCAAGACAGAGATCTTGGCGTCATTGTGGAGAGTTCTCTGAAAACATCCACTCCGTGTGCACAGCGGCTGAGCTGGATTTCTGCACTTTCCAGCGTTTTAGGGCTAAATCCAGAGACTGGGCCAGCCGGGCTGCGGTGGGATTTGGCTGACCTGTGCCTGTAGTAAAGGAAAGGTGTTTGTTGCAGGGCAGTCCTGCTCTGGATTGTTGTGGACTGGGGTCAGCGTGACCTGTGAAGGAAAGGAGGGTGATGGGGACTCCATTCCTTGAACTTGCACGGTATGGTCTGCAGCAGTGCGTGTTTCCTTGTGATTAGCACATGGAACTGGGAGCTCTTGGTTCCCCCCCCCCCGTAGGTAGGGGATAACGATACTGCCCCATCTCCCATAAGGGGTTATTATTAGTGCAAGGCAAAGCAGTGCTCATCTCAGCCCGCCCCCCGCAATCATTGCTAATAACGATTGATTACAGGACTGTGAGGGAGGCCAGACGGGGCGTGGCTGCTCTGTACGTGTGGTGTGCGCATTGCATTTATAACAGGCAGGAGAGCTCGCTGTCGGAGGCAGATGAGTGGGATCATTCACTGATAAGAGACATCTGCTTTTCCAAATGGGAGAGGCTGGCTTCTGTTGTCTGAGACCCTGTATCCTTCTCTCTTCCACGCCAAAGAGACGTAGATGAAGTTGAGGGCTGTGCGGCTGGGGGCGAGAGGGGCGTTCAAATCTCTATGGTTTCTTCCAGCGTTTCTCAACCTTTCTGATACCGGGGCCTGGCTTGCTGCCTTCGTAAACTGCGTCAGGAAGATCTCAGGGACTGGCGCCTATCCACGGACTGATAGTTGAGAAATGCTGGGCTAGTCCATCCTTGAGCCCTCTGCTGAGGCTGCCAAAAGAAGGATCGGTTGTGATGTAGCACCTGTCTGCTGAGACCTAGGCTGCGGCATCCCATCCGTCCCACCAGCTCATTTAACCCTTCCCACTCATCAGCCATTAGATGGTGACCATGTTCAGTCTCTGCTAATTTAGCCCAATGTCCAGAGGCAAAAGGCTCTGCGGATCCTCCCGAGCCATCTGCACCTGCAGGTGTTTGGGCAGGATAGTAACTGCTGCTGGAGAGCGACACAGGCAGTCGGCTCAGAGAGGAGTTGAACAAACCGGCTCAGGCTGGGTGAAATGAAGCTGTCGGCCTTCATTCCCCTGGAGCACGTGTGCATCGGTGGAGTGCAGAAGGGGTTCACAGCAAAAACTGATAGGTGCAGTGCTATGAAAGTACACTCCTCCCCAGCCCTGGGATCGCAGCCTAGAAAGAGCTTGGGATTTCTGCCGTCCTCTGAAGCATTGATCGTTGCCAGAAGCAGATAAAGTAGACGGATCAATGATCTTATCTGGCCTGGATGCTCCTATGCTTTAGTGTGGTGGCTCCAGCGTGGCCCACTAGGTAGAATGAAAGACTCACTTTCTCTCGCCAGCAAAACTGAACAGGTACTGAATAAGGGAACTTACTGGCAGAATTATACTGGTGTAATTATACGGCTATAGCTATACAGGAATACCTTCCCTCGCGGACGCTCATATTCCAGCCAAAGGGGGCATTTTTCCAGTTTACCTTATATTGCTTTGGAAGTGGTATAAAACCCTCTTCTGAGGGAGTAGGAGAGGAGCTGGAGTCACTAGTAGTCAAGGGGAGTCCAGGCCCAGGCTGCCTATGCTGAGCTAATGAAAGGGAAACAAACCCCTCTGGGTAGTTAATTGAATAACAAGCACCTGGGCCAGCTAAAAAGCCATCAGGGCTCAGTTTCAGGGAGGTCCTCAGAGAGAGAAGCTCTTCTAAGGGAGAGGAGCTCCCACAGACCCCAGTCTCAAGGAGGAGGTCTGGGCATCCCATCAGCCCAAGGGGTCGGACTTTATTTCATGTTTAGTTGGCTTTAATAAAGTGGAACCCCAACAGGGGAATCATCTTACACTGGACTATGTGGAGTTCTCAAAGGGCCCTGAGAGAAGAGAAACTGAGGCAGGAAGGGGTGTGCCTGCCCTATCGTGACCCCCCAGCACTGCCACCCCAGCATACTGGGGGCAGTGGGCCTTCTTACCTGGTGAGTGGCAGGGAGGTGTCAGGGCCCCAAGCAGTAGTCCTGCCCAGAAATGGGGCCCCAGGCATGTCTCAGTCTGGCCCTGAGGCCATCAGCAAATAGGACGTGTGCTGTGCCATTTCCCCTCTGAACAAGTGTCTGGATGTGGTAGGTGTGGGGCAGAAGCGCCTCTCCCAAGGCCGCAGAGCGCACGTTCCAGCTCTGTACCGCGTCCCTTGTCCCCCTCGCATCCTCCACGTACGCAGACAATCCCCAGTCGCTGCCTTCGCTGCGTCGAGCCGCCGCTTCTGTTTGGTCACACCCAGCTCTGCTGTTAATCACAGCAGCAGCAGAACTTGGTTTCCCTAGTAGGGTGACCAGGAAACAAGTGTGAAAAATCAGGACAGGGGGTGGGGGGGGGCAAAAGGCACCCATAGAAGACAAAGCCTCAAATATCGGGACTGTCCCTATAAAATCGGGACATCTGGTCACCCTATTCCCTAGCATCATCTGGGTGAAAAACAATTGGGCACTTTTGGAGAGCCGAGCTGCCGGTTTCCTTTGTGGACCGGCTGATCAATGCTGCAGAACTAAAGCACCACCATGTTGTGTTGATTCCTCTCTGTTTCTTTCCAGCGTGGATTAGCAGAACTGCCTGCTCTCGCTGTCCCGCTGTCTCTTGCCATTAAGCCTCCCAAATCAGGGGAACTTTGAAGTGTTCTTACTACTCTTTCTCTCATGCTTGGGGCTAGATCTCATCAATGTTAATGCAGGAAATGGCATTTTTAATAATGAGTCTTGGGAGTTTGGTTTTGCTAACATCATATTAAGGTAGTGCTCCCAGCCCCTACTGAAATTTTCCTAATTAAAGACAAAATTGATCAAGAGTGGCCGGTTGTGTTTTCACCCAGGAGAGGGTTAGAGGAGGTTGTCTTGGCAAACGGACCAAGTGATGTATTTAAGGACTCCGAGTAGCTCAACTAAAATGTTCCTCCTTTAAGAGGTTAGCTGATCCAAAACCCATTGAATTCGGTGGGAGTCTTACCGTTGACTTTAGCAGGTTTTGGATTAAGCCCAGGGTGCCTAAAACCAGTACCCTGGAAGCTTATTCTTGTACCAGGTGTTTTGTCCTGGATTGTAGCAGATAGGATACGGGAACTAAAAAGGTTATATTTGTCCTAATGAAATAGTAAGCAGGCAGGGTTCTACCTTGTTACGCTAGTGTAAATCTGGAGTGGCTCTGTTGCCGCTAATGGGGCTACCGTGGAATTATGCCAGAGTAACTGAGAGCAAAATTTGGCCCTATGACTTTTCAAATGATCCCTTAGGGTACATCTACACTACAAAACAAAACCCACAGCCACAAGTCTCTGAGCCCAGGTCAGCTGGCTGGGGCTCATGAGGTTTGTGCTACCGGACTAAAAATAGCTGTGTGGACGTTCCTGCTGGAGGTGGAGCCCAGGCTCCAAAACCCTCTTCATGTTTCAGAGCCTGGGCTCCAGCCCTCGTGGGAATTTCTACACTGTTCTCTCTGGACCCGTAGCATGAGCCCCATGAGCCTGAGTCTGTTGACCCAGGTGGACGTGGGTCCTTTTTTTTTTTTTTTCCTCCTTGAGGTATAGACATACCCGTAGACTCTGGTCCTTCTCCCATTGGAGTCAGTGGCAAAATCTCTCCTTGGTTTCAGTGAAGGGAGATCAGATCTCTAATGAATTTAGGGTTCCCTCTTCTGAATGTTTTTCACAGTGAGGATATAGATGGCTTCCTTGGGGGTCCCCATCCTGTCCATCTGAGTGCCAAAGGCTTTGCCTATCAGCATTTCTCTCTTTTTGATGTGCTTAGAAGGTGCATGTGAAACTGGAGGTGGAAAGCCACACATCAGTGAAGTAGAGGAATCAGCCCAAACGAGCTACTCATCATTTGTTTCTTGAAAGAGAGCTGTGATCTGAGCACAGGACTGTGAGCCAGTCACTTAGCCAGACTGCCTCAGTTTCCCCATCTGTTAAATGGAAG